CCGAGGTGGGGTCAGCAACTTACACATTTGAAAACGATTCCAGGCTTGGACGTGCAAACCTCAGGAGAAAATCACTGCTCCCTTCCATCATGGGTCTGCTAGGGCGCATCACAAAAATTAATTTGCTAACACCCTGTCAGACAAATTGTGTGTGTGTGTGTGTGTGTGTGTGTGTGTGTGTGTGTGAGAGAGAGAGAGAGAGAGAGACAGAGAGAGAGAGAGACAGAGACAGGCCTGCTGCTAAGAAACCAGAGCCTGAAGGGGGCCTGGCGCTGGCCCAGTTCTGGCCCATTCTTTCACAGACGCAGCGGCCGTGATGCCCTGGCGCTCAGACAACTTCTGGTGGGTTTTTCTCTTTGATAAACCATATGTTTAATGGATGCTTCACCGGCAAGATGGTGGGGTGAGGGCAGTTTTCAGGACCTCCCCTCCAGCCTGGGGGAGCCATACGTGTGATGGTGGGTGGGAACCACTCTGATTCGGCCCCGACCACTGACCAGCAAGGAGTGGGGAAGTGGGCAGAGGAGACAGAAAGCGGCGACCAGGTGCTAGACCCTGTTCTAGAGACTGCGACGTTATCAACAACAACAAAACCCCAAAGATTCCGGCTCTCATGGGAAGTTACATCCTAGAGCGGGAGAAATAAGCCATGCAAGAGACATGAAAAAATATATAGTCTATCAGGTGATACAAGTTATGAAAACTGGCAGAGCAGGGCGTCCACTGTCCTCAGGGAGGTCGGGGGGCTGCACTAAGGCGGCATTTGAGCAAACCTTGAAGGAGCTGTGCTTGAATATCTAGGGAAATCATTCTGGGCAGAGGGAACAGCCAGCGCGCAGCCCTAGTGCCAGCAGGGCTGGAGCAGAAGAGTGACAGACTACGAGGCCCTGCTGCCGGGGTGAGACCAGCCTGCAGGGGAGAGCCGGAGCAGCAGCCGGTCCCCAGGCGGTGGTCTGCCGTCCAGGCAAGCGTGGCGTGGCAGGAGCCAGGGAGGACGCGGGGGAGACGCGCTCTGGTGTCCACAGGTGGAACCCGGGTCCCCGCCGGGCCAGCATGCGTGAGACCAGACAGACGGGCAGGATCCCGCAGCACCCAGTCCTGGGCGTCCAAAAGGCCCGGCCAAGGGAAGACCTTTCCTCCAAGCACTACACAGGAAAGCGGGGCGTAGTCTGCCCAAGACCCAGAGTCCCCAGTGCTTTCCCAGGGAGGGGGTGACCAGGGGAGACAGTTGAAAACCACGGACAGTCAGAGAGGAAATCCCGAGATTCGAGGCACAAAACAGGAAATCTGAGCCTGCGGGCTCTGGGCCGGAAGGGGCAGACCCCGGGAGAGATCGGGAAGCGATTTAAAGCGCACGGCGTGCTTTCTCCATTCGCTGAGCTGACCCGGATCCCACCCGGGGCAGAAGAACACACGGTCCCGTGGCCCAGGAGGAGAGTTAGAGGCACACGCTCTCCCGGCAGTTCGAGCCGCGGCACCTCCTTTTCTAGGTCAGAGGAAGGGGGAGTCCCGGGATCTTTCAGGGTCCCTGTCTGTGAGCTGGGCGCGGGGGGCGGGACTAGCTCCCCTGCCGGGGTCTGTCCTGTCCCTGGCACCTGCGTCCACCCTGGTGCACTGGCCGAAACCAAAAGATCTCCCCAAACCGTGACACGTTTTAACTAACAGCGCAGCGTCAGCATCGGCCACGGGGAGCACCAGGGCGAGCTCCCGAGAGGTGTGCGCAGTTAGCGAAAAAGAAGAAAAGCCGCCCCCAGCCTTCCAGGCAGGCACAGAGAAGAAACCGGCTTTGTTCTTTATTTAGAAAGAAACCCAAATGCTCCGCACATCTATTTTTAAAACTTAAAAAGAGAAAAACACTCCCATAACTAAGGCTCCCCGCCTCTGGCGCGCGTGTGGGCGACTTCATGCTGGTGGCGCGCCCCCCGCCCCGGTCTCCAAGGCTCCGGGACCCCTGCCAGACCTCCACGCACCGGCCCAAGGCTCATCCCTCGGGCCGACCTGGGGGCGAGGCAGCCCCCCCACCCCCTCCGCTCTCGGGGCAGCCTGTTGCAGCCGCGGCCATGGGGGCCTGGCCTGGGGGTCTCGGGGCTGGATGGACTCTCCCGCCCTCTCCCAGCGCACCCCACTGGGCGCCGGGGACGCTCGCGTCACAGGGCACAGTCGTAGGTTCTGAAGCTACTGCGGCGGCCGCACGGTTCTGTACATTTATGGGGGCAAATCACGCGCTGCAGGCTGAGGGTGGGAGCACCTCACGGCCTGGAAATCACCCCTCCGTAAAGCTGTTTACAAAAAAATCAGCATCTACACCTCTGCTGATGTCTCTGTTTGGTACCAGACGTGGGGACCTGTCCTCTCCCTAGGCAGTCTCGCACCCCACGCGGTTCAGAAAGAGGCTGGAGCCCTCGGCCGTGGGGTGCCTGACCAACAAGGGGCGTCTCCAGATGCAGCCGGATGGGGGACACTGACATGGGCGGGGGGAGAGAGACGCAGGACAAGGACAGATGATGAGGCGGGGGGTGGTTGGGTGGGGGGAAAGGGTGTATTTTGGGTTCAGCCGAGCCACTTGCCGCTGCCGTGGCAGGTGAGGAGGCAGAGCACGGGCCAGGGCTGGCAGGCTGTGCCTGAGATGGGGGGCCCCCTGCCTATGGGAGGAGTGCCTGAGAGCTTGTCCCTTAAACCAGGAGTCTCCACTCTCACCTGGGTGGGGGCAACACAACTACAACTCCCAAAAGCACATTTTCAGATATCCTTTTTTAAAAAAAGAGTTATTTATTTATGCATACAAGAGCTGGGGTACAGGCCAGAGGTGTGGGGGGTGAGAGGATCCAACAGAGACAGAGTGGGGAGCAGAACAGGCAGATCTACTGAAACCCACTGCTGAGGGGAGCAGCGGGAAGACAGGAGAGGTCTGCCGCGCCCTGCGGGTAGCTCCCTGGCCGGGCATAGAACTCGTCCTGCAGAGGCTGCTGATAACTCCACAGTGCTGAGACTTTACCCCTGCGCCCCCAGGGAGCCCCAGATCTACTTTTTTTTTTAAGTAATACAGGTTCACAACACTCCATGGGGCGCAACACTCCAGCTTCTCCCCTGGACAACTGTGTGTCTCACACCACACCCACCACCCCCAACGAAGTCCACGCACGGACTCCTCTGCCAGTGCCACCCCTCCCCCCTCCCCTCAGGCACCCCCATTCTATAGTCAGTTTAGGGGCTTATTTGTTTGCTTTGGTAGTTTTTCACAAATGACTAAAATTATCGGTTTCTGTCTTTCTTCTTCTGACTTATCTCACTTAGCATCACTCCCTCAGGCCTCATGTTGTCACAATGGGCAAGCGCTCACCTCCAGCACCGCCAAGCGGAGCACACCCCCTGCACACACCCCCTGCACACACCCCCTGCACACACGTGCGTCTCCTCTATCCACCGCCCCCCCCACCTCCCGCCGTACACTGTGCTTCGAGGAGCAGCGGGGAGCAGACACCTTCTCAAGCAGCGGCGGCACATTCCTCAGATAAATACCCAGGTCACCTCGACTTCTGAACGCACGCGTGACACCCGCACGCGGTGGAGTCAGGGCTCCGGGAGCTCCCCCCTCCCCGGCCCTCTGCGTGCTCACAGCCGCCTCCAGAGCAGAGGGAACAGAACAAAGCCCGAAGCCCCAGCCACTCAGGCATCTCTCCTCTCCCCCCTTAACACCAGCCCCCCAAATAGTCAGGACAGACAATACAGCTGCTCAGCAAAGCAGACCCCCGCTTTCCAGAAGTTACCATAGAAATCACGGGGATCCTGACTGCCCGCGGGGCGCAGGGCTGCGGCTGGCCCTGGAGCATCTGACACGCTCTACTGGGGGAACAGTGACATCAAGCCAGGAAACACACGCCCCAAAAGGAGGGCCGGGGTGGGGGGTGGTGGTGGTGAACCCAACAGTCCCTGTTACTGGTGCACAGAGTCCAGGCAGGGGGGTGATCGCTGCCAAGAGCCGCCAGGAGGGTGGACTCTGCAAACCAGGTCAGGGCTGCGGGTGGTCAAGGGCCGGCGTGTGAAGACAGGGGAGGTCAAGGGCATCTCGTCCTGCTGGCCCTCGCAGACACGGGCGCTCGCTGGCCAGCTGCCTCCCCTCCCGCGGGAGCCCGGTGCGTCCACGCAGCACACCTGGCCCGGCGCCCCAGAAGCTGCTGCTGTCCGGGCACAGCACCGAACGGGAGCCGCTCCTCCCGAGATGGCCTCGGCTGGTCACTGGGACACGCGCCCTTGCGTCTCAAGGCAACATCAGCCTCCGCAGCTGCAGACAAGATCAAGGGCGGCCAGGCCCCGGGAGAGCGTTGAGGAGACACCTCGTGACCGCCTCCCTTTAGGGAGCCCTTGCCCTTGCCAGGAGGCCCCAGACCCAGAAACGCCGTGCAGGGAGGGGCCCGGAGCTGGAGGGGGTGAGGCCCCTTGCCCGGTGAGCTCAGCCCTTGAGTTTGGCATCAGAATTAAGCCCCAACTTTCTGGAAAATGTCCAGCAGGACAACTCATTTGGTCTTTGCAAGTCACACCAAGTGTCCGAGACCAGGACTCAGGCCCCGAAGGCCAGCAGGAGAGGGGAGGAGAGTCCCAAGGGCCAACCCCGAGGCCTGCCCCGGGGGGCACAGCGTCCCAGGTCCCAGCAGGAGACAGATGTGAGCTTCCACGTGAGAGTCTGACTTTCCTGCCAACAGGTACCACACACAGAGTCACTGATGCCGCATTCACCGAGGAGAGACGCCATTGACGCGGGCTCCTTGGTGCCCGGGGACGCCGGGGCCTCGTCTGCCCGCCTCTGCTCTGGCCCGGAGGGTGGGGAGACACTCGCTCTTGGTCTGATGCCTTTGGGTAATAAACCCACCCTTTCAAATCTCCCCAAGGTAACCACGTGTTCTCACTGGGCCGGCTCCAAGCTGGCAGTCAGAGCTCGGTGCCCACAGCTGCGGGCACTGCCCAGGCGCCGCGGGACGTGGGGGTTGGGGGGGGGTACTTACCAGACAGCGGGTCCTTGCCAATCTGCAAAACATTGGGCAAATTCATGACGATCAGCTGCTGGAGAACTTCCTACAGAAACAAAGGGGGAAAGACACCTTAAGAACAGGAAACAAAAATAATGATTCAGCAAGTTTCAGCTTAACCAGGCACTGGATGAGCACACGGCCACCCAAGGGAGCGCTGAAGACACCGTGCCACAGCAGGGGCCTTTAGGACGGAAAGAGACGTAAGTCGGAGGCTGTCTGCACTGCCTGGGTCATCACCACCAAACAAACCTCACGTCCCGTCCACGCGCTGACCCCGGGAATAAACAGATGCGGGAAATGCACGGATACGCAGGACCAGGAGTTTCTCTGAAAAGGATGTTCTTGATTATTTCTATTGTATGGCTGGCTGTGCGATTAAAAAAAACAAGCAGAATAAAGATTAAAGAGATGCCACGGAGTCTTTCGAGCCTGATGATTCAGGGCCCGCGGCATGGCGGGTCTTTGGGCCACGCTGTGACTGAGGAGACGGCTCTCACGGCCAGCGGCGACTTCCCGGGGAGAGGGATAAATCACGGCTGATCGCACCGTCGCCGAGGTGGCCGCAGGAACGAGCTGCCTTCTGGCCCTCACACCAGGGGCTTTGAAACCAGCCCAGGCACCAGCCAGGCGTCAGGGCCCTGTCGGGCGTCTGTCACCGACTCTGGGAGGTGCCGATCAGCCCCACCACCAAGTCCTGGAGCCCTTCTCAGGCACGCGGGTCTTCCCTGCCTGGACGGGTCTCATTTTTCCACAAATCAGAAGATAAAAATTACATTTTATGGAAGACAACCAAGGAGGGAAGTTGCTTACGTATTTCTGGTCTTACAAAGTGGCCACTATAGAAATTCCTCACCAGCAGCGCCCCACTGATGCTTTTTTTTTTTTTTTTTTTTTTTGTGGGACCCTCGCCGGTGGCCGGGGATCAAACTGGTGCTGCAGAGGCTGCGGGCAGCCTTGCAAACCAGCGCTCAACCGCTGCGCCACCAGGGGAGGCCCCTGACGCCCTTTTTTAAATTTCCATTGGCACCCATCTTTTTTCAGGGGTCACCCGATGGCCCAAGTGAGGACTCTGTATTCAGCACTAGAGCCGAGAGGCAAAGGCATCACAAGATGGGCTAACCCCACAGGTCTGCACACCGCAGGCCTCCCCAGAGCCACCAGCTCAGAAGGGTAGCCCAGGAAAGCTACCAGCCTCCTTCCTGTGCACACCAAAGGCTTTCTAAGGCTCCTGTCCACACCAGAAACTGGGGGAAGAAGATGCCAAGCCATGAGGTATACCTGGCCCCAAACACCCCAGCCACCTCTCTGTTGCATGTTGGATTAGGTCTCTGTCCAGTGCGGGCATGTCACCCTAAGAGAGATGGCAAATGTTTCTCAAATGCATCTCAGTGGGCGGAACGTATGTGAGTGTGGGAATTAACTCTGAGCTGCAACACAGCCTCCGCCCTCTCTCAGAGTTCAGGAAGAGTCAACCCCACACACTGGTTCTCAATGGCGGCCTCAGCCATGGATTCCTCAGGGCTGCCCAGGCCAGAACACACACCACCAGGAAAATCAGCAAAACCCACCATTCAGCAAAGGGAAGGCCTCCCAGCCAGACGAGCCCTTCTTCAGGTCCCAAACCTGCCTCAGCACTAACCCCAGGGCCCCGCTGCCCAGCCAGCCACTGACCTTCACAAGTCTCCCGGGGTCTGGGCCAGCAGTGAGGCATCTGGGCGACTCAGCCCCTTTCTCAGGGTGCACAAGTTTCATAAAGGGGAATGTGGGACCATATGGAAAGCCTCTGCAATCATGCAAAGCAGCATTTTTGTACTAATGATAATTCTAAGCAAGAGATTACTAGAAACAATGCTAGAAATTATTGCCAGAAAACCCATGTAATTCTCCTTCCGAAACAGGATGTTTAATTTCATCAGTTCAGGACTCTCGCATTTCCCACAGGAGACACGTGTCATGTGCGATGAAGTACTGTGTCTGTTTTATGAGCAGGGCTTTTCTCTTAAGTTGTTCCTTTCAAAACACCACAGTTCTCCTAAGACCTAATTCGATGGCTCAGGACACTTCTGAGCCATTAAGCATCCCCCTAAAGGACCATCCATCACGTTTCCAGCAAAAGCAGGCTCGGCGGCAGGAGTGTGGCCACAGCTCTCCAGGAGAAAGGGAAGGCGAGGCAGGAAAAGCTCCGATTTTCTAGTAGCTACCTTAGTGGACGTAAAAAGAAACAGGTGGAAACAGTCTAATAATATACTTTAATGAGGCCCTCCCTGGAGCCCTAGGGGTTAAGTCTCAGTGCTATCACCACTGCAGGATGAGTTCGATCCCTGGCCAGGGAGCTACCCCATGATGCAGCAGGCCTCTCCTGTCTCCCCGCTGCAACCCTCAGCGGTGGGTTTCAGTGGATCCACCTGTTCTGCTCCCCGCTCTGTCTCTGGTGAGTCCTCTCACCCCCCACACCTCTGGCCTACACCCCAGCTCTTCTATGCAAAAAAAAAAGCAACAACACTACATACACTTCCATGAAGCCAGTGCACCCAGCTATCATTTCACCACATAAGCGACATGGCATCATGAAGGAGCTTCCCCCCCACTCTGCCTTCACACCCAGCTCTGAAACCCAGATGTGGCTGACCCAGCACATCCATTCAGGTGCTCATTTTTCACTGGATGGACCTGACCTTAAAAAGCAGGCCTGCACACGCAAGTCGTTCCAGACGCACTAAGGGTTCCTGGAAACTGAATGGGAGTAGGTTTTAAATCTTCATTAAAATAAAAAATTCGCTTCCTTGCTCACACTTGCTGCGCGTGGGCTGGTGGCTGCTCCTTACACAGCTGCCAGTCGCCTCAGGGCTCGGCCCTCCCAGAGGAAAGTCGAATCTCAAGGTAGCGGGGCCTCCGGGGCAGCAGGCCAGGCCCTCAGTCTAGAGGGGACGTGAGGAGGCTGCAGATGAGGGGACCTCCTGCCTGGCACTCGGAACAGAAAGCCCCTGTGGAGGCGCAGCTAGCACCAGCCTGCTGGTGGGCGCCTGGTCACCCTGGGGCTGTGTGAGGTGTGTCCCAACAAGCCTGGAGCGCACAAGCCCGCGGGGTGGCCTGAGCAGCCCCCACCCCTTGCCATTTGGTCTTTTGCAAAAGCAGAAGCAAAAGCTGCAGTGACTCCAGGGCCTGTGTTCTGGAGGGCAGAGACGGGGTGGGAAACCTGGACGCAGGGGGGCTCTGAAGCCCCGTCCCCTCCTCCCCTGCAGCTTTGCTCTCAGATCCAGATTTGCCTTTTCACTCACGAACAGCACTAACCGCACCCCAGAAGGATCCCGCTGGCAACGGCTCTAAACAAACCAAAAGAGCTGCAAAAAAATCTGTCTGCAGCGGGTCGGAGTACTCGGGTGTCAGCATTGGGGCAGGAAAGGCCTCCGCGCAAAGGGGAGAGAACCCCGACACACATGGCTGCAAACCCCGAAGACAAGATCTTATCGACAAGAACCTCCCCCCAGAGCGGCGGGGTGGAAGGCGCCCCACACCGGGAGGCGGGGCAGCCAGAGGACACGGTCCAGGAAGCGTCTGTCACCCCAGCTGGCGGGTCCCGGGGGCTGCATCTGTGTCAGCAAGTCCGGCCAGCAGCCCTGGGGGTCCCAGTTTCCAGGTGGGTGACCGGGGGAGTCCGGGCGGCCGGTCTCAAGGTCTGCGGCGTGGGTTCTCAAGGCCGCCGAGCGCGCAGTTCTAGAGCAGAGCCAGGAAGCCCGGTGGAAGGAAAACTCCGTCGTCCCGTTAGAGCCCTCGTAGGCTCCAGGCCGGAAAACCCAGGACAGGGTGGGAGCCCCTGCCGTCCACAGCCCCACTGGTGACGGCGCGGGGCGCGGACCACGGAGAGGGCGACAAGCAGGCTCCAGGGGCACCTGGCCATGCGCAGCACGCTCCTGACCACTGCAGAGGGAGCGGCCAGCCGGGTGGACACTGGGGCCTCTTAGTCGCCCCACAGGGAAGAAGGCCGCTGCCCGGGCCCTGGCTTCACGGATCCCAAGATGCCATCCCCAGGCTGGTTCCAGGGGCTCACCCCACGCCCTCGTGCCCCTCTCCCGTCCCCCGGCCTTTGCGCAGGCCACCCCAAAGAGTCGCAACAGTCGGTGAACACTTTTTTCTGTCATGTCTATTCTCATAAATTCAGCAGAAGAAAAAACACATTGTAAGAAACAAACATGGAAGAGAAAAGAATTCGCCCAGCGCAGATCCTGCAGGTTTGCACAATCTGTTTACAAGGAGGACGAGGGCCAGTGGCCCGCACAGTTCAGGGGTCAGCTGCCTGTGAAGCTCATCTTCTGCGTTTTGTCCAGTCGCCTCCACTAAGCTGGCAGGGCCTTCGGGGACGCGCGTGCAGCTCCCCTTCAGCCAGTCTCTCTCCCGCTCAACCTGGATTCCAATGAGCCTGCGCTGGATTCCAATGAGCGTGGGCTTCGCCCATGAATTGGCCACCGAGGGACTCGGGGCAGGCCCCTTAAAACGATCCCTGAACTCACTTCTGAGAACAAGGGTGTGGACCCCAAACTCTCAGTAAGCTGCACGTTTCACAGTCAAACTGTCAACAGCAGAAGGGGGGACCATGAGCAGCAGCATATGGACTGGCTGGCTGGAAGCTGAAAACGCTCCCAACGAGACCTCAAAATACAAATCCGAGCGCACGGGTGGTGCGGAGGGAAGGGCAGCCTCACGCTCCAGGTGCAGTGGATACTGGAGCACGGGCAGGAAGACAAGACGTGCTTAAGAATGAATAAAAGGACACCCAAGTGTGGTTCATTTCGGGGGTGGGGGAAGAGGAGGAAATGTACCCAGACAACTGTATTGGAGTGATGAGAAAGAGCAGGTTTCCCAGCATTTTCTAGAGATTCAGCGATGTGATCAAATCACTTTCAATCAGAAGTTTTAATCCTCCTGGTGCAGCTTCTCGGTAACCTGTTTACCAGATCCTGAACTGTGGTGAATGGAGCACTGAAAAATGTCCATTTTAAAACAAGTTACCCTCTCATCTGTGGCAAAGTCACGTATCCAAGAAGA